GGGAAATCGGTCTACGGCCCGCCGACCCGGCCGGCTTTCAAGGGATCGGCTCCGATCAATCTCTCCGACCGCCTCCACCAAGTTCTCCGGTGGGCGCTCGGCTCGGTGGAGATCTTCCTCAGCCGGCATTGCCCGCTGTGGTACGGCTATGGAGGCAATCTCAAGTGGCTGGAGAGATTCGCATATACGAACACGATCGTCTACCCTTTCACTTCCATCCCGCTGCTCGCTTACTGCACCATCCCCGCCGTCTGTTTGCTCACCGGAAAGTTCATCATCCCCACGGTAATGAATGTATTCTAAGTTTATGTCTTCATTTTTTAAAAGCTAAAACTTTGATATTTTTGATTTGATATGAAAGATTTAGATGATATAAATATAAAAAGGAAAGTTTTAGTGTTAGATATATAAATATATAAGATTAGAGGGTGGGCATGTGAATGATCATTAATAAATGTGATATTTTTCATGTTATATTAAAAATTGGTTATGTAATATACATGTAAATGACCCAAATATATATAGTTTTTTAGTCAAGGCTGATTATTGTTAGTTATTAAACATGATTATTAGATCAATATAAGTGAGAAATGACATGAATAAGAAATTAGAAAGGCATTATAAGGTCAAATTGGGGTTGTCTAAATAATTTGGCCTTGAAATGAATTTTAAAATGGCATTAGAATTATTAAAAATGTAATTTTTTTAATTAATAATTCGTCTCTTAAATATTATTCATTTTTATTAAATTTTAATGAACAATTTCTAAACTTTTTTTATGCCATATGTTTTTGCACCAGTGGAGAATTGGTGTTACTATACAATTAGGGCTGTGAATTTAGCTCGGGATCGTTTGTCGCTTGAAAATCTAATTCAAATTTTTGATCGAATCAAGATGAGATCAGAATAAACGAACTAACCTATGAGCTAAAATTTCAGATCAATTTTTTGTTCAAGCCGGCCCCAGCTCGGCTCGAAATTGATCATTAACAGTCCTAGTGATGTTCGGGCTGCGAATTAAGCTAATTTAGCTTGAAGATCGTTAATCACTCAAAAATTGATTCTAATTTTGGTTCAGATCTAAATAAACTAGATGAGTAACTAGTTAAAATTTTGTTTTGAATTTTTTTATGCCATTAAATTCATGTTATATTAAAAATAGCTTGCCTGCCATAAAATTTGGAGATGGGATCAGCATACAAATCCTAAACCTCACAATTCATTGCAGCTAAACAACTTGGCGAGCATCTGGTTCATCGCTCTGTTCCTCTCCATCATCGCCACCGGCATCCTCGAGCTCCGGTGGAGCGGCGTCAGCATCCAGGACTGGTGGCGCAACGAGCAATTCTGGGTCATCGGCGGCGTCTCCGCCCACCTCTTCGCCGTCTTCCAAGGCCTCCTCAAGGTCCTCGCGGGCATCGAAACCAACTTCACCGTCACCTCCAAATCCTCCGACGACTCCGATTTCGGCGAACTCTACCTCTTCAAGTGGACCACTCTCCTCATCCCCCCCACCACTCTCCTCATCATCAACATGGTCGGCCTCGTCGCCGGAGTTTCCGACGCCATCAACAACGGCTACGGCTCTTGGGGTCCCTTGTTCGGGAAGTTGTTCTTCGCCTTTTGGGTCATTCTGCATCTCTATCCTTTCCTGAAGGGATTGATGGGGAGGCAGAACAGCAAGAACGTCTTCGGCTCGGGGGGGCCGTTTTTCGGGAAATTGTTCTTCGCCTTTTGGGTCATTCTGCATCTCTATCCTTTCCTGAAGGGATTGATGGGGAGGCAGAACAGGACGCCGACGATTGTCGTGCTGTGGTCGGTGCTGCTGGCCTCCATTTTTTCTCTGGTTTGGGTTAGGATTGATCCTTTCTTGCCGAAGCAGAAGGGCCCTATTTTGAAGCAGTGTGGGGTTGAGTGTTGATTCAAGTTCATGATTATTGTAGATGTGGTGTGTAGATATATAAGTATAGGATTTATGGGACAGTTTTATATATGTATTATTTCTTTGAATCTTCTTTTATTAAAAAAAACTTGGCTTTGTTCTTATTGTTATTCTTATATGGTGGCATTTGCAACGTCTACGAAGATCTATGAGAACAAAAACACGTAGTTGAAGAGAAAATATTAATAGGGGTGCAACGCAGCTATGAACAATCATGTGCACTGTCACTCCACACACCCTCTGACCTGCTATTTGTTGTTTGTAAGTGTTGCACGCAACGATTATTTTCTCGTAGATGAGGAACATTATGCATGTTGCCCACAGATGATTGAAAATTATTGAGTACTCATAACAAACCTCAGATTAATATGTTTGTACAGTCTCAATTTAGTGCCCTAATTATTAGATATCCTAAACCCTAAGTAAAATATCGAGTCGGTCACCTACTTTAAATCCAAATATTAGACTGCTACGTGAAAAGAAATTAAGAATACATGTGTGTAAGTTCTTAAAAGAAGAAGAAATTTTACTTTGACTAGCTGGCCTCAAACTTTAAATCCAAATATTAGACTGCTACGTGAAAAGCAATTAAGAAACCATGTGTGTAAGTTCTTAAAAGAAGAAGAAATTTACCTTTGACTAGCTGACCTCATGGTTGAATTCATTTTTGAGAGAATTTCAGCTAGGGTATCATGAGATGCATTGCATGTGTATTTAGATCAATGACTACAACACATTACTCCTACATATTTCTCTAACAAGATCAGGAATTCTCAAGTTATACAATAATATGGGAGCATAAATCAAAGCTATGTATGTATAACTCTCCTTTTACTTAACCCAAATAGAGACTCTAAGGTCATGGATATAGAACAATATCTTAAATACCTCGTGAGGGAAAAAAAAATTATATCCTTTCATATGTAAAAGAGTAATACTAATAAGTGATAGTGAAATTATATTGTTCGATGTTCAACTATGGATAAGGTGCACCACATCAACTCTCACTTACTTCGAAAGAACACTTCGGTTACAAAAGTTAAGTTGCATGATCATCAAGTGGGTGCTAGGCGAATAACTGTAACGATTGATAATGTAGTATACTAGTGCACGCAATGAGAAAATTGTATCCTTTCATATGTAAAAGAGTAATACTAATAAGTGATATTGAAATTATATTGTTCGATGTTCAACTATGGATAAGGTGCACCACATCAACTCTCACTTACTTCGAAAGAACACTTCAGTTACAAAAGTTAAGTTGCATGATCATCAAGTGGATCATAGGCGAATAACTGTAACGATTGATGATGTAGTATACTAGTGCACCCAATGAAAAATAATTTTGAGATACGGTAAATCTTGGATATTTATTTTATATTTACTGATTTTCTTGAAATTTTTGGAGTTAATTTGATGCTCAATTTATTTGTTGATTTTTAGTAGTTTTGTTTCACACTCAATTTATAAAATATATTCACCAGATTGTAGACGATACTTGACTATATTTTGAGCATATTTTGACTATTTCTATGAGCATCATGAATTGGAAAATAAAATATTTCTTATTGGATTTGTCTTTCTTAAGAATTTGGTACATTATTATACATGTGGGGGTTTTGGAGTCATCTGGTGTTGATATACAAATTATTTTCATGCATTATAGACATATTTTTATATTTATTAACTATCTTTTCATAATTTTTGAAGATATAAAAGGTATTGGAAAATAAAATATTTCTTATTGGATTTGTCTTCCTTAAGAATTTGATACCTTATTATACAAGTGGGTTTTTGGTATCAGCTGGCGTCTGATATACAAATTATTTTCGTCAGTGCGTTCTAGACATATTTTTCTATTTATTAACTACTTTTTCATAATTTTTGAAGATATAAAAGGTTTTATAAAGCATATATTTAATTAATATAGCAATTTAGATAATTTCCTGTATACACTTTAATTAAATAAATAAATAATTAATTATTTTTCATAATATCCTAATCTACTATTTGATTCCACCATTTGTGTTTTTCCATTTCCTTTTTTTCAAAATTGTGACTTATGGAGAGTGAAAAGGAGAGAAATTATAGAGAAAAATGTTGATTAGAAGGCCTTAGACTTGATTTCGTCTGTTAGGCTATTTGAGAAAATTGTTCGACTTTAGGTAGGCTACTATTGACTTTCTTTAGATTTCAATTTCAATTTCAATTTTTTTCATAAATTTATAATTATTTATTCGTCAAAACTTCATACAAACTCAAATCTACGGAAATTTACCAAATTTTCACCACAAAATGTTTTATGTGTTGTAGATTAGACTACATTGGACAAATTAACGTAGGTATTATGTGTTGTACAATATCTTGTATATTTTGGCAAATGTGTTAAACATAATAAATTTGATGTAGAACAAGAAATATTTGAAATATTATTCTGAACATTCCATATAAATGATTTTACAAATCTGTGATCGTCAATATGCACAGATTTATTTCCCCACAAAATTATATTTAACTATGTCTATTGGTCTGTATCAATATATTCAACATGTTATGATATTTGATATGTCAAAATTATTAGTGTATATATATGTCTCTATATCAGTAATAAATGCAAAGTATGATAAAAGTGAAAGAAATACAGATGATTGTGATTGGACAAATGCATATTTTGTGCAAGCAAGTGGAGTTATATGCCTTTGCACCTATGTATATATCCATATGTGTCTCTCATACATCTGAATAGATATGAACAACTAAACGTATAAGTGGAAATGGAGTTATAAGGGGCATAAGGAAAATATGAACAAATGGAAGTATAAGTGGAAGTGGGTTTAAGGGGACTAGGGCACGTGAAGAAGGATCCGGGAGCAAAAAATATTAAAATAATGTTAATAAAGAAAATAATTTTGATTTCCATGGTATTTTCCTGCACTTATGATATCATGTTGATTTATTGTTACTCAGTGTTGACATCAATTTTTGATGTCGCTAGTCTAAGATGTCTGCTCTAGCGCTATGGGACATGACTTGATGCAAATGTTGATTCTCATAGTGCGAGACATATACTTCACTTTCCGACATGCATTAAAGGGGCAAAGCGCTCAGTGTTGCTTTGCTCAACTATGGTTGTCACTAAGGCGAAAGGTGGCAACATTTTTCAGTTGGACATCTTCGAGCAGGCCAACAGGTCTCGTTCGCCAGATTGCGCGCAAATCATGTTCAAATTTGCTCTTCTATTTATGAATTTGTCTAGACAACATCAGATGAAGAAACAAACTGCACGAGCGTGTTTGGAACGTTGATTTAGCCTAGAGAGGAATCTCATTTTACTATGGTTTTGTGCATGAGTATGGTTTGTCATTCTCCGGCCTTCTCTGGAGAGGTTCAAATGTTTATATTTCACAAAGTGAGAAAAACTTTGTTGCTAGCCCACCTTGCAAAATCATGTGAATTTATGAAATGGGAAAAGCTTTGTAGCTAGCCCATTTCGCAACATCGTGGAGATTTTGCCTTTTGGAGACCCAAAGGTGAAGCTCCCCACACGCCTCGCCAAAAGCAAGAGGCGACTATGTCGTACATCCATGTGCTAAACCCTAGGTACCCAAGCGAGGACGTTAGCACGAGTATGGCTTGTTATCGAGCATGTTCTTTTGCTTTGAGTTGTGTCACTTGTCTTGCTTGAAGCATGTTGCACTTTGTCATAAATGGTCGCCCCGACTCGGTCGACAAGGCACGTTGTCTCGACTGGCTACCCCGACCTGGTCAGCATAGTACGTTACAACAACCGATCACCCCAGCTCGGTCAGCACAACCCATTTGCCTTGGCTGATCACCCAGCTGGGTTGACTGATCACTTTGGTTCGTTCGGTCGCTCCGGCTCAGTTCCAATCACTTAGGTCCGACCGACTGCCCACCCGGTCGACCAATTACCTGACATGATCGGTTGCCCATGCCCAATCAATCAATCACTTGCATAGTGTATGTTGTGCATGTGCATGAGTATGTTAGCTTGCTTGCATGATGCAATATACCCCTAATGTGCTTGCCGTTTATATGTGTGTCTGGTAGTTATTAGGGCAAGGTGTAATTCTAACCAGTGGTGCCTTATACGCTAGGCAAACAAACACAATATTTCTTCTGCTAATGCATGTATGTCACCTTGGATAATCTTTATCACATGTTTGAGTTGTATTTTGAGTGTCCATTCATACATTCATCCCACTTGTATGATTCCCCCAATGAGGATCATCAATTTTTTGGGTCACTACCTCTACGACACACCTATCCTTCTAGTCGTTGCTTCCACGACAGACCTAACCTTTCGGGTCACTGGCTCCATGACTCACTAATCCATTGAACCGCTACCTCCATGACACGCCCACCTTTTCCGGTCACTGCCTCCACGACACACCCGTCTTTCAGACCACCGCCTCCATGACACGCCCACTCTTTTGGATCACTGCCTCTACGACACACCCATATGTCAAGTTGCTATCTCAACAACAATTGCACCCTTCTGAGTCACTACCTCCATGACACACAAATTCTTTGGGTCATTGCCTCTGCGACACGTCTATCTTTTTGGGTCACTACTTCCATGACACACCCTTTCCTTGGGCCGCTGCCTCCACGACACGCCCGCCCCTTTCGGGTCAGTGCCTTCATGACACACCCATTATTTGGGTTGTTGCCTCAACAACACACCCCATCTATTTAGGTCACTACCTCCATAGCATACCCATTCCTTGAGTCGCTGCCTTAATGGAACGCTGACCTTTTCAGATCACTGCCTCTACGACACACCTATTCTTTTGGCTACTGTCTCAACTGCATGCCCACCCTATTGGGTCACTACCTCCACGACACACCCATCCTTCGGACTGCTGTCCCCATGACACTCCCCCTCATCAGGTCACTGCATCTATGATACACCCATTCGTCAAGCTGCTGCCTCCACGAAGCACTCACCCTTTCGGGTCACTACCTCCACAACTCACTTATCCGTCGAGTCGTTGCCTCCATGAAAAGCCAA